CATTCAGGAGGCTGATTCTAGAACTAGAAACAGGCAGAATGAAGTCACCAAACGATTAGGTAGGTTATTCATAGATCTGTCGTTTGGAGTTTACGATGGCTGTTTCAGTTTTTATCGAGTATTAGCTTATTGTATCTGGAGTTTACGAAGACTTAGTAAAACATTATCGAGTAGACTAGCTACCTTCGTCAAGACATTTTAAATTCATCTTGACTCCTTGTAGAAATCTTCATTTAATTTCAATCATTGTCCAAACCGCTGACAATCTGTACGAAGCTATTGCAACGGTATTTTGATTTTCATCAGGTGAACGAGTGACTGATATCGCCTTCTGGAAGAGTGAATTAAACACCGAAATCAACCAAATGGCGACTGAGATAGAAAATCTAAAAGAATATCGTCGAGTTTTAGAGAAAGCATTAGGTGATACTGCTAATCCATTACATGTAGCTGAAGAATGTTTGATGCATCGTGAAAAACGACGAGGTATTGATTTGGTTAATGATGATGTGGAGAAATCTCTTATTAAGGTAATTTATAATAAAAAATAAATTTAATTCAAAAACATTAAGGTCGGGTTAGAGGCTATTTGCCCCCGTTTCCAAACCTGGGATGTTTCAGCCCCTGGGGGTGAGGGTCTAGGGTGTCGGGGGTGTGGCAAACTGGAGTAGGAGAAGAATTTGTTTTGAATTAAGAGAGCACCTCACATCATCACATGCTGGAAATGTGGATGAAACAAATTTCTGGGGGTGTGAAAGGTCCAGGTGATTGCTCCTGGGTGTGAAGGCTAAGAAAGGTTGGGAACCACTGCTATATGCTGATGGAAATGATTTCGAATTTCCCTCACGACTGAAACAATTGTGACTTTTGATTACACTATCGGAGCTGGTACAAGTTATAATTCAAACACATGGTCGTGAGCTGATGGATTAGTGAGTGGCTATCTGTTGAAGGAATAGGGTGCTAGAAAAATTGGAATCTCCCATACGGCGATATCATCTTGAATTTTGATGACACTATCGAAGATACAAAGCTTTTAACCTTCATGACTTTGACACTTGTTAGGCTGGTACTACGATTGACGAACATATCCGGAAATTGGCAATATCTTGCAATGAGTTTTAAAAGTTTCTGTTTTGTATTTTATCTAACAGGAGGTACAGTTGATTAAACATTGTCAAGGAAAGATGAAACGTGTTTTAGATAAAGCCATGGCTCAACTCAAGTGAGTATAAAAATTGAAATGTATTGACTTTTACCTCATACCATACACAATCAACAATCTTACTGAATGATTGTTCCGAGGATCAAGTATCAAGTAATATATCCAGATGAACGATGGTATTTAATTGTAGTCATGAAATAAAAAAAATCTAGGAGCAATCCTTTTAGCAGATGGTGTACACTGTAAAATTTAACTGTTAAATGTTCCTTCTGTCAGAGTACTTAATGAATATGCACACTGTAAAAAATAACCGTTAAATGTTCCTTCTGTTTCCAGAGTAAACCGAGCAGCCCAACATGCTCTAGAAGTCGACTGTAAAGATAAACACCACGCTCAACATCTTGATGACAGAATGCAACAATTAAAAAATTCTTCAGCTGGTATCGGATATTTCCCCAGTATTGAAAACGTTGATAATACGTAAGTTAATATTAGTTTACCCATACCAGATTCTAGAGCTATTCACAAGACTTGCACTACTAACAGTATATAGTTTACAGGGCCCGGGACATCTTTGGCCAGTGGCGTATTTAGAAGGGGGACAATTGCCCCCTCCCCCTTCAGCCATTGTCCGCAGCTGGAATTTGATCAAGTCCTTGTTTCATTTTACAGTATCACAATCCCTGAATCATGGGCGAGATATACTCACGAGAATGTCATCAGATCTCAGAAAGAACGAGCAGCTTCAGAAAAACTCCGAGGTGAAATTGACAGCTGTATGAGATCCTGTGCCAATGAAATGTGGAGTATCTTTAACGCTGTTAATAATAATTTCAATATGAGAATCCATGATACTACAGACGCTAGAAATAAGCTTCAAGCTCATCTACAAAGAGTAAGAATTAATTCTATTTGTATTGGGACGGGCATCATAGTGACTAACACTAAAGATCAAACTCTTCTGAGAAAATGTTTTTTTGAATCAAATAAATGTCATTTAAACAAACTGTGAACACGTTTTCTTACGTCAACATTCATTTTGCATGGTGATACCTCCAGTTTTCAAAGAATGTTCAAAAAGCATTGTCTAGACTGGCATCAACCATTCTAAAACCAACATGAGCTTTCAAGGAAACTGTCAATAAGCAAAATTCTTGGACACACACTGAATATTGGTTTAATAAATAAAATTATTGCTAATTCCTAAAACACAAGCATTCTAAACTATATCTTTAAATATTTCAGACGATGCAAGAAATCTTCGACATGGAAAGAAACATCCATCTGTTAAGAAAAGCCATTCAAGATAAAGAAAATCCAATGAAAGTGGCTCAAACTCGACTTGATGAAAGAACAAGAAGAATCCATGTTGAAGTCTGCCACGATCCTGTCATGAAAACGTAAGTTGACGATTCTTGATATACCTTGCAGTGAGAGAAATTTTGACAGGAGAGAAAAGCATAAAATCTTTAGCATGAAATATCTGATCTATTTTTATGATGGACCAGATACTTTACAAACCTGTATGAATGATAAGAGGCGTATTGTTATACACTTTAATCGTACGAGGACAGTCAGATTTTATCAAGTGGTGCGCATTATGTTCGAAATTATACGGTACCCCTACCCCATCCCAAACCGCTGTCTCTCTCTCTATCTGTCTCTTATACCAAACCGCTATCTCTCTCTATTTGTCTCTCATACCAAACCGCTGTCTCTCTCTCTCTATCTGTCTCTCATATCAAACCGCTATATCTCTCTCTCTCTGTCTCTCATACCAAACCACTATCTCCCTCTATCTGTCTCTCATACCAAACCGCTATCCCTCTCTCTATCTGTCTCTCATACCAAACCGCTATATCTCTTTCTCTCTCTGTCTCTCATACCAAACCACTATCTATCTGTCTCTCATACCAAACCGTTATCTCTCTCTATCTGTCTCTCATACCAAACCGTTATCTCTCTCTCTATCTGTCTCTCATACCAAACCGCTATCTCTCTCTCTATCTGTCTCTCATACCAAACCGTTATCTCTCTCTCTATCTGTCTCTCATACCAAACCGCTATCTCTCTCTCTATCTGTCTCTCATATCAAACCGCTATCTCTCTCTCTATCTGTCTCTCATACCAAACCGTTATCTCTCTATCTGTCTCTCATTCCAAACCGCTATCTCTCTATCTGTCTCTCATACCTAACCGCCGTCTCTCTCTCTATCTGTCTCTCATACCAAACCGCTATCTCTCTATCTGTCTCTCATACCAAACCGCTATCTCTCTCTATCTGTCTCTCATACCAAACCGCTATCTCTCTCTCTATCTGTCTCTCATATCAAACCGCTATCTCTCTCTCTATCTGTCTCTCATACCAAACCGTTATCTCCCTCTCTATCTGTCTCTCATACCAAACCACTATCTCTCTCTCTATCTGTCTCTCATATCAAACTGTATTATCTATTTCAGATTAAAACATGAAGTTAATGATATCAGAGAATCTATTGCTATTTTAAAGAAGAGTCTCAGAGAATCTGAATTAAGTTTAGCTAGGTTGATGAAAACTAAAGCTGTTTTAGAAAATGATATTGGGGTGAAGGAGAATTCCCTGAAATTAGATTCTCAGCTGTGTATGGGAATGAGGAAAGGTTTCCCCATGGATCCTAAAGTTGGTCCAATCTTCCAGATGCCAACTTGTTAAAAAACGTCAATTTATTCATATTTAATTAATCTTTTATTTTTATGAAAATTTATTGCCACATTTAACGCTGGACTCCAATAATTGGACTTTCGTAAAATCAAAATTTCATTTCGTTTTTAATCAGAAATTTTGGTTGAAATTCTTTTGAAATTATAGTTTAGATTTTTATGTGTAACAAAATGAAAAATAGTTGTATTTTGGGCACTTTATCTGCAATAAAATCTAATATACTTATATAAGCTAGTTTATTACAATGCACCGAAATAAAGGCCCAGATCGAGTCAGAAATGACTGGTAAATACAGTCAAATCAACAGTCTAGAGCTCTAGTCAGACGTGACTGGTAAATACAGTTAAATCAACAGTCTAGAGCTCTAGTCAGACATGACTGGTAAATACAGTTAAATCAACAGTCTAGAGCTCTAGTCAGACATGACTGGTAAATACAACCAAATCAACAGTCTAAAGCTCTAGTCAGACATGACTGATAAATACAACCAAATCAACAGTCTAGAGCTCTAGTCAAACAAGACTGATAAATACAACCAAATCAACAGTCTAGAGCTCTAGTCAACCTTGACTGGTAAATACAGCCAAATCAACAGTCTAGAGCTCTAGTCAGACATGACTGGTAAATACAGTCAAATCAACAGTCTAGAGCTCTAGTCAACCTTGACTGGTAAATACAGCCAAATCAACAGTCTAGAGCTCTAGTCAGACATGACTGGTAAATACAGCCAAATCAACAGTCTAGAGCTCTTGTCAGACATGATTGGTAAATACAACCAAATCAACAGTCTAGAGCTCTAGTCAACCTTGACTGGTAAATACAGCCAAATCAACAGTCTAGACCTCTAGTCAGACATGACTGGTAAATACAGCCAAATCAACAGTCCAGAGCTCTAGTCAGACATGACTGATAAATACAACCAAATCAACAGTCTAAAGCTCTAGTCAAACATGGCTGATAAATACAACTAAATCAACAGTCTAGAGCTTTAGTCAACCTTGACTGGTAAATACAGTCAAATCAACAGTCTAAAGCTCTAGTCAACCTTGACTGGTAAATACAGCCAAATCAACAGTCTAGACCTCTAGTCAAACAAGACTGGTAAATACAACTAAATCAACAGTCCAAAGCTCTACATTGAAATATATTGGTAGGATTGAGAGTCTTTATATGTTTCTTTAAAACTTGTAAATTCTTAAATGATTTACTACAAACATCACATGTAAAGGCTTTATCAATTGTTGTATGTAAATCTATATGACCTGATCGTTTATAAGACTTACCACAGACATCACTTTTGAATGGTTTCTCTCCAGAATGAGACATCAAGTGATTCTGTAAATGACTACTCTGAATAAATGATCTACTACAAACATCACATTTTAAAGGTTTCTCTCCAGTATGTTTCCTTTTATGAATTTTGAGTGAACTTGGTTTAGTAAAATATTTACTACAGACATCACATTGATGTTTTAAGACTGGAAGTTTTACTGGTTGTTTTGGAACTGTTATAAAAGGCAGTGTTTGATTATGGTAGATGTTATTGATTGTTTTATTGTGTTGTCTGCTTTGTTGTGAATTCATTATGTTAACTGTTCTATTTTTACCTGAAACAACAAGAATTTAAAGACACCTGTAATTAAAAAGTTTAGAACTTTATATAGGTTAAATTACAACTCATCATCAGATTTCCAAACTGGCTACTTGGCCAATAGAAATTATTGTGTATATTTAAGTAGTATAGTTTATTTATAGAGCATGTATTGTTTAATCTTATCTAAGTACCGAATATTTTAACTACTATACTTTTATACTATACTACATTATTATACACTAGGATTCATATTCAAAATAAAAATAGACAACTGTAGACTATCATTTATAGACATATTTCAATCTATATCAAATACAGTGTACTCTGTGATATCTGACAACTGTAGACTATCATTTATAGACATATTTCAATCTATATAAAATACAGTGTACTCTGTGATATCTGACAACTGTAGACTATCATTTATAGAGATATTTCAATCTATATAAAATACAGTGTACTCTGTGATATCTGACAACTGTAGACTATCATTTATAGACATATTTCAATCTATATCAAGTACAGTGTACTCTGTGATATCTGACAACTGTAGAGTATCATTTATAGAGATATTTCAATCTATATCAAATATAGTGTACTCTGTGATATCTGACAACTGTAGACTATCATTTATAGAGATATTTCAATCCATATCAAATACAGTGTACTCTGTGATATCTGACAACTGTAGACTATCATTTATAGACATATTTCAATCTATATAAAATACAGTGAACTCTGTGATATCTGACAACTGTAGACTATCATTTATAGAGATATTTCAATCTATATTAAATACAGTGTACTCTGTCATATCCGACAACTGTAGACTATCATTTATAGAGATATTTCAATCCATATCAAATACAGTGTACTCTGTGATATCCGACAACTGTAGACTATCATTTATAGACATATTTCAATCTATATAAAATACAGTGTACTCTGTGATATCTGACAACTGTAGACTATCATTTATAGAGATATTTCAATCTATATAAAATACAGTGTACTCTGTGATATCTGACAACTGTAGACTATCATTTATAGAGATATTTCAATCTATATAAAATACAGTGTACTCTGTGATATCTGACAACTGTAGACTATCATTTATAGACATATTTCAATCTATATAAAATACAGTGTACTCTGTGATATCTGACAACTGTAGACTATCATTTATAGAGATATTTCAATCTATATAAAATACAGTGTACTCTTTGATATCCGACAACTGAGTATTCCGACATTCTGCGTAATCCTACATCATTTTCTGGTCCCGATTGATTTCTTTCTTAGGCTAGTATAATAAAAACTCTGAGTACTCCGGCACTCTGTACATTCTGAATTACGAATCAATCGCTTATTTTATTGATAATCCGAATCAAATCACATGAAAACAAAAGATCGCTGAACTAAATTATTCTGATTATTTGAAAAATTACGAAACTGAAAACTATGTGGTGGGACAATAGAAGTACAAGCGTGTATTGTGAAGAATAAACCCACTGTAATACTGCAATGGAATTTTTATCTTATTTAAAAAACAAAACTTCTGTCCATCATTCCTTGCTTAATATTTTCTTTCGAAATTCCACTTTCCCTTTTCTCAGGGCAGAGGATATTTGCCATCCGGGTGCCAAACAATTATTCACCGCCCTTATTTATTACTTGCCACTCTTGTTCCTCTGGAGAGTGGCATTAGTATCTGTAAAGGTTATAATGTACCAGACATTGTCATGTTAAAATGAAGTCACATATTTCCTATATATACTGCCTTTTTTCGATTGAGAATATATTCAAGTTATGGAGTTAGTGCCTTTTGTCACCTACTAATCATAATAAGTATTGTTCAAAGATTGTTAAAGATATATCCTATAAAATAAAGCTTGAAATTCTGATGCCAAAGGTTGAAATAAGTGATTTTGAGCAAATATTGGAGTTACTGCATTTGTCTATGTCCAGTCTAAACACTAATTTTCAATTCATTGGAGAAAAAACTACGCAAATAACTGCTAGTTAACATTAATAATCGCGTTCCCATTGAATAGTCAACCGGTGCTATGTCAATTCGCCACCATACTTTTTCGGAACACTTCTATGAAATTTAGTCTTGATATACGCGGCTTTATATTAGATATAAGGGCATTCTGTCAGTGCTGCAGCACTAAGACCTGCACAACTTCCGATCTTAATTGCCAAGGAACGCACGACAAACGTTCTTTAAGTGTATCATAGTAAACTAGTGTCCAAAACAAACGATACCAACTTATTTTCGAAATTGTTTTTTACTAAGTGAATTGTCTAATATGAAAACATGCCAATTCGTATTGCACATCCCAAACACAGCATAGTCGATAAAAATACCGGGAACACGTGATCACTTCCGGGAAAAAACGTAAATTTCGTGAAAGTGACATTCCCTCTCTAGCATGTTCTGCACGTGCATAAAAACTGTATAAAACGGCTGATCATACAAGTTGATATCACAGCAACAAAAAGAACACAAGATATGCCACGTTTGACAGCCATCGAGAGAGAAAGAGCCGTTGGAATGGTCCAACAAGGAGCGACACACGTCGACGTCGCCAGAAGGTTGGGCTGCGCACGCATCACTATCACCAGGTTGATGCAGCGGTTACGTCAGACAGGTCAGACGTCAGACAGGTCCAGGAGTGGAAGACCACGAGTAACCACGCCCCGTGAAGATCGTTACATCCGGGTATTACACCTGAGGAACCGCACCGTAACAGCGACGTCCACGGCGGCTACAGCACTGGGACACAGGATCAGTCGACAGACCGTCTACAGGAGACTACGGCAGTATGGTATCCGGCCACGTCATCCCTACCGCGGACCGCTCCTGACGCCTCGACACCGGAACAACTGACTGATCTGGGCCAGGCGAGTTCGACGTTGGCAACGGCGGGACTGGGCACGTGATGAGAGCAGATTCCTCATCTTCAAAAACGATGGACGGCAGCTTGTATACCGACGATTTGGTGAACGTTTGGCGCCTAACTGTATCCAATAGGTCCGGCCGTTTGGAGGTGGAGGGTTAATGGTTTGGGATGGCATATGTGGTGACGTCAAAACGAGGCATGTCGTAATTCGTGGAAACCTGAATGCACAGCGTTATATTGATGACATCCTACGACCTGTTGTGGTGCCCTTTATTCAGCAACAGCCTCGTGGACTCCTTTTCCAACATGACAATGCAAGGCCACACACAGCAAGATTGACACAGAACTTCCTTGCCAACGCCAACGTACAGGTTTTGCCATGGCCCGCATGTTCGCGGACATGAATCCCATCGAGCACTTATGGGACCACCTCGATCGGCAAATCCGACGTCGCCGTGTGCCTCCAGTCAACGTCCAGGACTTGGAACGATGTCTCCTCGAGGAATGGCAACGCATCACTCCCAAAGTCATCAGACGTTTGACGGCATCAGTCCGTAGGCGTGTTCTGGCATGTATTGATGCTCACGGTGGACATACCCGCTACTGACTTGACTTTGTGACGTGTGGTGTGACATTTCCCGTTGTTTCTGTGATCAGTGCTCTAACGAAATGTTCTTTTTTCGACCCCACCCATCTTTAAAGGCTTGTCATATTGGTTGTACAGATTTTATTGAAATGAAATTTTTGTACAGATGTTGTGAAAGGATTTCTCAAAAGCATAACACCAATCCTTAACTTCTGCATTGTTTAGTTTTTCTTTTATGTCGTTGCAAACAGGTGGTATCGTTTCTTTTGGACACTAGTTTATATTATATTATGTATATAAATTTAGTTCAGAAAATTTTGAGAAAAGGCTGCTATAATTCTAAGTATGCTAAGTAGGCATGCTATCGTAGAACATAATGTTACAAGTGAACGTGACAGAGACTGGCGTTCTCATATCTTGTAGATCTATAATATATCACACAAACAAACACGAAATTAAAACGTTTTTCTTGTTACACCAGCAGTTTTTGTTAAATTTACCACCCCCAGCTCTTCTTTACCACCCGTAGTTCTTCTTTACCACCCGTATTTCTTGTTTACCACCAGTAGGCCTATTTCTTGTTCACCACCCTCAGCTCTTGTTTACTTTTCTAGCTCTTATTTACCACCCTCAGCTCTTGTTAACCACCCTAGCTCTTATTTACCACCCTCAGCTCTTGTTAACCACCCTAGCTCTACTTTACCACCCGTAGTTCTTGTTAACCATCCTAGCTCTTGTTTACCGCCCGTAGTTCTTGCGTACCATCCTAGTAGCTCTTGTTAACCACCCTAGCTCTTGTTTACCACCCGTAGTTCTTGTGTACCATCCTAGTAGCTCTTGTTAACCATCCTAGCTCTTGTTTACCACCCGTAGTTCTTGTTAACCATCCTAGCTCTTGTTTACCAACCGTAGTTCTTGTGTACCATCCTAGTAGCTCTTGTTAACCATATTAGCTCTTGTTTACGACCCGTAGTTCTTGCGTACCATCCTAGCTCTTGTTTACCACCCGTAGTTCTTGTGTACCATCCTATCTCTTGTTTACCACCAGTAGTTCTTGCGTACCATCCTAGCTCTTGTTTACCACCCGTAGTTCTTGTTAACCATCCTAGCTCTTGTTTACCACCCGTAGTTCTTGTGTACCATCCTAGTAGCTCTTGTTAACCATCCTAGCCCTACTTTACCACCCGTAGTTCTTGTTAACCATCCTAGCTCTTGTTTACCACCCGTAGTTCTTGCGTACCATCCTAGTAGCTCGTGTACCATCCTAGCTCTTGTTTACCACCCGTAGTTCTTGTGTACCATCCTAGTAGCTCTTGTTAACCATCCTAGCTCTTGTTTACCACCCGTAGTTCTTGTGTACCATCCTAGTAGCTCTTGT